ATGGTGTTTATGATACACGGAATCTGATAGGAATATACGAAACTGAGGGAAGACAAAAAATGGATACACCTGCACCATTGAAAACAATTTCCAGCCATGTTATCCAAAGTCTGTTACCATCGGTTACGATAATCACGCGGACCTCCAACAGGTGGTCTACAACCATTAAAATGGCTAAATCCAATTGTTTGTGACTTCATAGACTGATGGCATACTTTAGTTTGGCCACCACTAGCTTGCTTTCAGCCTACTCTTACACCAGAAGACCACCTATCGAGGTAGGCAGAGGTCAAGCATACATAACACCTGCCTCAACCACCTCAGTTAGTGAAGATTTACTACCTTACCAATCGATTTCCCATTTCTACCTAGTACTCTACTCCTAACCCAGGTATTGCTTACTCCGTGGTCACAAAATACACCGGAAGTACTTTGTAAACACCTATGATCGAATATAAGTAACCTACGAATATCCCCAACACTTAATAGCCATGTTTCACATCCATTAAGCAGAATGAAGCGAATTGCTGCGTAGCAAACGGACGAACATCTCGCCTACATAACAGGTTGGTAAAAGTCAATCGAGCCCTCTGAATGCTTGCTGAGATTTCGTCAGACATCGGTATTGATGAGATTCCCAAGATAATTGAAGTGGTCGATATGCCCAACTACTTTATTCCCTATCACTAATTCAGGGGGCGACATAAGCCAATCCTGAAGTAACATTTTACATCTGGAGGGAGAGAACCGCACCCCAAAAATCCTTGCATTGTCGCTCAAGGTGGTCACAAGACTGCATTTTGTCAACGTGTTCACAAAACAGAACTATATCATCAGAATATTCCAAGTCAACAAGACAATCTCATTGTACAAGATCAATCCCTGAAAAGTTAGATGATGAAAGTGTTATGTCAAGAAGCATGCTTATGACAAAGTTGAATGATGTTCATGAGAAAATGAGAAATCAGTGGGTGGTTAAATTTGTGGATCATTTGACAGTTAGCATGCATTATTTTGCTGAGGGTTGAGTGGAAAACCTTTATCCTCATGATAAATACATTATTAATGAATAAAATCAAAGTGATTGTTAGATATATTTTGTTGGTGATTTATGAATTTATAACATTAAGGCCTTATTATCAGACTTATAACTTATTATCTATTATATCGGTCCCTGAAACAGGTATTAGGCACTTTTATATTTCATTTTAACCTAGTTCAATAGAACCTGGTAAAGCTACAGTTACAAAATATTCCCGAAGCAACCTCAAAAAGACCAGTGGAAAGTAAAAGTTTTGTACAACTTTCCGTAGCTTATACTCGGATGTCAAAAAACATTTAGGTGTTTAACTAGGCGATTCAACAATCTGATAGTGTCTTGGAAACAAACAAGATATCTTTCCACTTTAAAAGCCGTAACATCACTGTTTGTCCGTGTGTTTTAAATAGGAGAGAGACTAACGTGGAAATCTCGTCACTCTTACCATTTCCTTTTTGATTCCCATTTACCTTTTCTCATTTCAAATGTTTTTTTATTCCTGTGACAACAGACCGCAACGAGGGACATGAGAGAACCCAGGGTGCAGTGTGTATGCAAGAACTAACAATCATTCATGATCTAAAATAATAGTCAAATAAGGCAAGGAAATTTCACTGTCACTGAAGTTACCTCGGCCTTAACTACGCAGTCTATAGCTTATAAAATTCATCTCTGAGATCTGGAAATTTGGCACACCGGCCATGTTGGCGCAAAACAATGAAGATAAAATCCAATGGAAATGAAGAAGGGGCGCTTCTTCACTGAATCCACAGAAGAAATCACCTTGACGCAACTAAATTTTCAGGGGTCAGAAAGTACCTTTGTTGTTCCTTTACGTACGTCAACTACGGCTCTAATGGTACATACAGTTCTGCTTTGGATTCCATATTCAGGAAAGCAGATTACTGATTATTTGCCACAGCTGTTTACTGAAAAGTTATATTTTGGCCAAGACAAATTTAATTCGTGATCTGCTCCGTTTGCTTATTTATTTATTTGAACATATAAATATTGGTACAAATCGGCACCGAGTACATATGAGCCACGCAAGTCACTTGATTTGTGTGTGGACTGTGATACTGACTGGGTGCTCAGACCGAAGAAGGTGGTTTCTTAAGGGGTGGGCACACCTGGAGCCTTAGACCCAATGGTCTGATCCATAAGGCAGTGGAGCAACATCAGGAAACGCAGTCCCATGGTAGCCGGTAACCAATAATTGGTTCATACGCCATTTGTTCCCTCAAGATCCTGGAGTTCATGTGCACCATTGGTTTGGAATCAGGGGTTTCCAAGTCCCCTAGGTGGAATCTCCATTTCCACCAACCAGGTTAAAGTGCCGGGCATCTGCTTTTCGTCCTCTTAATTCCGTAAAGAACATCCCCGCTGTGAGAAGGCAATGAGTGGGACTTCCCTAGCAGTGGTTTTATACGCACGGCCATGTGCGAGCATTTCGAGAGGGAGAGCTGACTCTCCCCGCCCTCGACCGTACCAGGGCATTCAGGGCCATGTAATGTGATGGAAACTTTGTTCGGTTATATAGAATAGAATCCAAACCATTACAAATTATTTTTCGGTTAGAATTGTCAAGCCACTAACTGTTTTGGTTTAACAAAATATTTATAAGAACTAATTTCATAGTGATAAAGATCACTCAAAGACAAACTGATAGTAACTCGCCATTCAAGTGACTCCTACTTGATAACACAACCCAAAATGAAGTGAAGGGACGTCATAAATTTTTTTTAAACCGGTAGTTCGAACAGACCTATTTACTTATATAGACAGTGACTTACCGACAGTTTTTTATCGGGGGGTACAAGTGACTGGTAATAACTGCTGTCTTCCTTATCACTATATATACTTAAAGTTATCGGTAATCAACACGGCTATAATTGAAATGAACAGTATAGATATGTACAACAGGCGAGAAGACCATTTATTACATGCAAAATAAGTGCTGGATGGCAAAATCAGAATGAGTCATGTTAATGGAATCACGATCACTAATTACACTTCATTTTAGTTTCCGTTTGTTCGATACTTAATATCGGTCAGAAACAGAGGTCAGCCTATAGGCGATCCAAGCAAAAGCATGTGATAACTAAATTTAAGGGCTATTGAATGTTTCACTGAATAACAATGTATCTCCAAGGGATAGTAGAATTATGCCAAGGAGAGCCTTTACAACTATACCTGGAAAAATCATACTGAAATAAGTCCTTAGTTCTCGGAAGTAAAATTGTGACCAAGGAACACATGACGTCAAGAATCGGAATCAAACATCAAAAAATGATTAGCAGCTGGAAGAGATTGCCCAGGACGGAGAATGCTGGTGGGCTGCCCATACTTCACAAGAGGTATCAAGAGCAAGTAAAATGACCTATGACGAACTTAAGTGAAAATATTGTTGTTTGGTATAATTCTATATATTACTAATACGATCGTGCGTTTTCTGTACTGTTTCTTGGTCAGATGTATAGTTTATTTTTGGTAGCTGTTTTTGTTTACTACTCTCAAATTTTAACATGAAATAAAAAGATTTTCATAGTTTTTGAATTTTACTACCTGAGACATGTTATCTCCAAAAAATCTAGCATTAGCTACAATAGTCTCCTTTGCCAGTGTTTTGACACGTGTGCGAGATACTAAGCTAGAACCTGGCTCGTTAAAGGCGATATGACCATCCGGGCCTATTCCACCAACAAACAAGTGAATACCTCCAGCTTTCTTTATCTCCATTTCAAACATTTCGCATTCGGCCTCTGGATCATTAGTTGTTCCATTGAGTATATGCACATTTTTCGGATCTATATCTATATGCTGATAAAATTTAAACATCGTTACTGATAATTATTGAAAAAAGCCACATATACATATTTAGAAAAGTGTATAAGCCACAAAAGTGAGGCACCGAAAGAAATGACCGGTGGAGCAATATTTATACTAAACATATTTCTCTGATAAGATGAAGGTAAATTAAACGCTATTAGGTGAAAAATTCTATTCCTCGAAACTTTTTTAGCCTGTTCTATTTTACAGCAAATTTGAAATTATTGCTTGAAACTTTAAATTGGTTATACTGAACAGATCAATGCACTTAATACGCTATAAAACCACAGACCATTTTGAAACTTCTGATTAATCAGTAGGATAACTTGGACATTGTCTGAAAATAAAAGATTGGATTATGGGATCTCCCAAGTCTAGACGAACTTTAAAGCTGCATAAGAGTAGTAACAATTCAACTTGAGCATTTTATTAGACGGGTTTTGAGAGGATTGTAGTAATTTAATAGTTAAATTCATGAGTCAATTAAAGCTAGACCACCAAAGAAAACCCGGAAGCGAGACCGGAGGTCTCGGGTTCGAATCCCGCGAGCGGGATCGTGGATGAGCACTGCTGAGGAGTCCAATACCAGGACGAAACGACCATCCAGTGCCTCCAGCTTTTCCATGGTGGTTCAGCTTTAATTGACTTATGAATTCAACTATTAAATTTCGAGCATTTTAACCCTTCAAAAACAATATGTACTGCGTTTGTTTGTATCTGTAGTCACTGCTAGTATAACAGTAGATGTTTAAAGAACTATAATAATAAACACTTGTAAACTTAAGTGTTCAGCCACTTAACTGTTGAGTACTTTTTACTGGAAACTCATTATGAGGTTTGATACCAGAAAAGGTCAACAAAGTGAATTACTAAATATTTTACAAACTGACACAGATGATTACTCATCGTTCCAATGGCTATAACTAGAGTTAGATGGTGGATTCACATAGGTCCAACTTCTTCTAACATACAGAGCTGTTCGGTAAGAAAAATAGCAATGCCAGTTACAACGGGCAGGGTACGAAGACTGTATGTGGTCCGTTCAACGGATTAAAAACACTTTAATTGACGTATGTTTTCTGACCATGAATTTTTATTTGTAAATGAGATCCATGTACTATTCATTTATTAGGGATGATATGAGTGAGGAGTGTCCATAGATAACGAATTAACAGATAACTACTTTCATCAGCAGAAGCTTGTCATTGGCCCAACAACGCTAACTTCAGTATTCACTAACGGACAGGTATAATGCTTAACAAATCACAGTAATGTACAAATCTTCTATTACTTACTCACTAAAAACAATACATCTTGTTACCGAACTGATTTGCGACATTGTTTTTTTAATTACTTAATATCCTTTATTTTACTTTTGATTCTTTGACTGGTTTCTTGACAGAAATAATATCTTAATTCATAATAATTAGTATTGTTAATTTTAACCCCATATTCTGCACAAATTTGTGGTTACTCTTCACCACATTACGTAGATAAATTGATTTCGAAAACCGATTGCAGGTATACAACTGACAAATAATACAGGAAACTTTTCTACTATGTTTTTTGCACTAACGCCTTGATTAGATTTGTTGAAGAAAACATATTTTTTTACAAAGAACGATATTCAACCAGAATTTCAAGTATCTACATACTTGAAGATACATTTCCAAAAGGTTCCTTAAAGTACTATGAGAAGTATTGATAGGTTCGTACCATACTCAGTGATACATTCAGCCAAGGCTTATGCTCACTTTTCACAAGGAGACTTTGCTGTCTCACAAAAAGTATCAGTGAAAACTAATTTCTATTTTAAATGAGCTGCATTCAAATAGTAGATAGTTTAATCAAAGCATCACAAACGTACTGATACTTAGTACACACTATTGAGAAAAAATATTATTAAAGAGGTTGAACAATGGAGAGTGAACAAAAATCCGGCGGATCCTGAATCCATTTTAGCTTAGTTAGGTCTAAACATTTCAGTGACTACACATATTTTTGGGGAAAAAACTAGGAAAGGTATATTTATTATTCTTGGAAACATATTAAACTGATGTAGCTTTAGTATAACTACTGTTGTATAACACTAATAGGAAAGCTATAATCTTCAGAATAGATATTCAAGTGAAATATTTTGTATAGATTTCGGAGTCATTTTCAGTTTCCTTGAATAAAAGTACACGTATAAACGGATAAATACATTAACAATCCAACGCTAATACTTATCTTACTTTGAAAAAATTATGATACATGTAGTAATGGTAAGATTGTGGATGATCGTGAGACAATCCCAAATACTCGTCCATATTGAAGGTTTTCACATACCGAAAACTAAGTTTGCCATCATGATGAAATTCAATTAACCGCTTGTACATACCCAAAGGAGTTGAACCGGTTGGAAGACCAAGAACAAAGTATCTCGATTCAGATGGGCTGAAGTCAGTTATCTTTTTCATTACGTATTTAGCAGCCCATACTGCAACTTCTTCAGGATCTTCAAGAATCAGTAGACGCATAATAACTATTTAGCCTATGTACAACGTACATAAAAATCGAAAAACACATGTTCAAACGTAGAAAAGGTATTAACACGTTATATACTCTTTTTACCAACGATCATTCCAAGAAAATGTGAAACATTGATATTCTACTGTGCAAAGTGTGAACAACTAGATAATATTTTGCAAAAAAGCTGATAGCACCAATTTACGGACTGACGCTGGGACAAAATGCCAACCAAGAGTTTCAAAGATCAATACAGTTGTATATACAAGCCCAAATTTTTATAATGAATTAATTGGTGTCATTAATAAGAAAGTCACATGAACTTCTATTGCCTAATTAAATGCGATAACGTGTCGACACAACTAACAAAAGCACAGTTGCGGTTCTACTCCACTTGTAAAGGTAATTTCTTTTCTATTCTAACCGGATTCCACAGTGTATGTACGGAGGATAAGTAAGTCTTTTCTGTCGGCTGTAGAAACACAAATCACATGCTGATTGCTGGTCTAAACTGGATGGAACACCGAGGAATCGGCACCAACACGGCGACAAAAACTATAGTTAACTTGAGATGTTTCTCTGACATATTTCACATATGTACTGAAGACAAGAGATATGAAGAAAAACACATGAATGATATCAATACTACTCACATTGTTGTACACAATTAGGCACCCGGAATATATCTTTAAAATGCAGGTGTACCTGACAATGAGGTTATATACAAATATATATATAGCGCGTCTAAGCTTACTGCCCGTCCCAAGCCGGGGTAAACAAGGAGGTTAGGGCATGATGTCAGCAACCCCATCCTGTAGAAAACAACCTTACTAAAACTCGCTAACCAGAATATACTATTTAAGCCGTTTAAACTCGGTTCTTCGAGTTGAAGGATGTTCATTCGGAAGAATTATGACGCCTCATAGTGAAAACCGAGATTCTCCTGAAGTCATGAGGTCGATCTCCCTTCAGACAACCAGAGCAACAACCAGTGTGAGTACATGGAATGTCCGGACAATGTGAGAGAACAGGAGGACCAATCTAATAGCTGTGAAAATGAGGAGATACAACTTGGCAGTTCTCAGAATCAGCGAAAACCATTGGACCGAAGCTGGACAGATAAGATTAGATTCGGTTAAGATGCTGCTGTATTTGGGACACGAGGACAGAAATGCCCCACACACTCAGGGAGTTGCTCTGATACTGTCCAAATGAAGACACTTATAGGATGGGAATCTCATGAACCCAGAATCACCAAAACATCCTTCTAAACAAAGAAGTAAGGGATCACAGTGAGTGTTACCCAATGTTATGCATCCACCAATAACAGCAGTGACGATGACAAACATCAATTTTACGACAGTCTACAATCGATCATAGCGAAACAATCAGGAAAGAAGCTGATCATACTGATGATAGACATAAACGCCAGGGTCGTAATGGACAACACCGGGTATTAATATATCATGGGACGATACGGACTGACTGGGAGAAAGGAACGAGAATGGCGAAAGATTTGCGACTACAACTATCATTTAAAAAAACATATAGATATATATAAAACAGTTATCTATGCAAGATTCGCAATGTCCGTTGACAGGATACCATCAGCAACAGTCTACTGGAGGATAGAACAATCCAGCTTTCAGTTGAAGAAGATACTAGGAAAAGACACTGCAAGTGGATAGGACACACGTTGCGGACATCCCCAAACTGCGACACGAAGCCACCGCTAGCTTCCTGAAGGGAAATGGAAAAGAGAAATACCAAGAAACACATCGCGTCGGGAATAGAAAGCAGACATGAAAGGTAAAAATAGCAACGATACAGGCTGACTGGGAGAAAGGAACGAGAATAGCGAGAAATCTACAAATTTATGTACATTCAACGAAATGGTTATAGGCGGCACAACATTTCCATACAAACGCATACATAGAACTACGTGGGTATCACCGGATCACACTACAGAGAATCAGATCAATCATATTTGCGTCAGTAGAAAATTCAATAGGTCAACGGGAGTCGCGAGAACCAGAAGAGGAATTGACATGGCTTAGGGTCATCACCAGGTGATTGCCAAGATGGTACTGAAGCTAAAGAAACACTGGACAGCTGCGAAAAAATACATTACAAAGGATCAATACAGCCTTCCTTCAACATGCTGAAAGACTCAACGATTTCAAGACAACTCTCAATAAAGGTTTTAATTCTTACAAGATCTACTCAAATAAGAACAAACTACTACGAAGAACAACTGCGAAAGGATAAAAAATCACTAAACCCAACATATCAGCAGGTTCTGGGTCGCAACAAGCGTCTTCACAAGGACTGAATAATTGGACAAATTTCAAGAGAGGAAGAACACGAGGACTAACCAACGACAAATGAAAATGAACAGAGAAAATCAAGACACAAGCTGAATGCACAGAAGCAAAGAAGCACGTGAAGAAGAGCATTGGATCCAACAAGCAGAAATACATAGAAAGACGGAGGAACAGATGGGTGGTACACTTCGAGCAACTCTTAAACAGACCAGCTCCATTGAACCCACCCAGACATCGAAGCAGCGCACACAGACCTTCCTATAACTGTCACTCCACAACGATCGAGAAAATCAGGATGGCCATCAGACAAATCAATAGTGAGAAAGCAGTAGCACCTAACAGTATTACGACTGAAGCACCCAAGTCAGACACAGAAGTGACTGCAAACACGCTCCATATCCTACTTAGGAAGATTTGGGAGGAAGAAAAAGTGCCGACACTGGTGATCTGAACAAGTATGAGGACTACAGAGGAATCACATTACTGTCAGTACAAGGAAAGGTTTTCAACATAGTGTTGTCGAACCGTATGAAAGACTCCATAAACGCTCAACTTCGAGATCAACCGCCTGGATTCCGTAAGGATCGGTCGTGCACAGACCAAATCGCGACACTACGAGTCATCGTTGAGTAATCAGTTGAATGAGACTCATCATTATCCATCAACATCAGTGACATTGAGAAAGCATTTGACAGTGTGGATAGGAGAACCTTATGAAACCTTCTTCGACACTATGGTGTACCTGAGGTCGTCAACATCATACGGAATTCGTACGAAGGACTACACTGAAAAGTCGTGCATGGTGGACAGCTGACAGACACATTCCAAGTGAAGATCAGTGTCAGGCAAGGCTGCTCACTCTCTCCCCTTCTCTTTCTTCTGGTGGTTGACTGGATTATGGAGACTTCAACAACTGATAGAAAGCACGGACGGCTCAGAGCCAATTAGACGACTTGCACTTCGCAGATGACCTAGCTCTTCTACCCCACACAAACCAACAAATGCAGATAAAGATAACCAGAGTGGCAGAAGTCTCTGGATCAGTAGAGCTCAACGTACACAATGGAAAATCAAGATCCTTAAATACAACACGGAGAACACCAACCCAATCACATTTGAAGGAGAAGCTCTGCGAGAGGTGGAGACTTTCACACATCTGGACAGCATCATCGATGAACAAGAAGGATCTGATGCAGACGTGAAGATGAGGATTGGCAAAGCAAGGGCAGCATTCCTACAGTCGAGGATCACCTGGAATTAAAAACAACCGTCACCCGAGACCGAAGTCATAATCGTCAATACAAACGTCAAGAAATTTCTATTGTGCAGAGCTGAGACTTAGAGAACTACTACAATCAATATGAAAAGTGTACAGGTTTTTATAAACAGCTATCTACGCAAGATATTCGGCGTCCATTGACCATCAGCAAGAACCTACTGTGGCAGGGGACAAACCAGTTCCGACTGAAGAGGAAAGTAGGAAAAGTCACTGGAAGTGGATGGAACACACATTAAAGAAATCATCAAACTGAAGTCCCTAAACCAACAATACCATTCCACCTAGAAACGTAGTAGCAGAATATTAGTGACATGCCACTTCACTGAGCAGCAGTTGGATTGAACATAACACTTAGAATTGGAGTTCAACAGCTCATTTTATTGCCATAATCCCCTACCATTAACCAAATAAGACAAGAGTGTCAGTGACGAGA